CTGTGATCTAAGTGGGCGACTTGAATTGTATACATTAATCAGCTCCATTAAATAGACAGGTGCCTGACCTCTGAGAGCCTTCTAAGTAAGTAAAATAATTTTAAGTCTGCCCTGTATCTAACAGGAAGCCAATGGAGAGAGCTATTTATAGGCGTAATGTGGTTGTACTTTATACTCCTGGTAACAATTCTATCTACCGTGTTTTGAATTCGCTGTAAGATGCTGAAAGTGTAATAGGTGCTCCATGATAGTAGGGCATTACAGTAATCTAATCTGCTGTATACAAAAGCATGTCTTGGTTTCTCTGTGTCTTGAGTGGAGAGCAAATACTTTAGTTTTGCAATATTTCTTAACTGTAGGAAGCATGCCTTTGATACTACATTAACATCAGAGTTAAATAAGAGCCTTGTGTCTAAGATGACGCCTAAATTACATGCCGAATCTTTGAAGCAAAATTTTAATCCCTAAGAGTTGAGTGTTGAGGTTATAGCAGTCCTAGAGTTGAGTGACAAAAAATGTTCACACATACAAGACTTTGCTTCATTAATGCAATTAGCTAAAGTAACAATCGACCAGTTGTCATTAGGTGTAAATGAAATGTAGTGTATATTTGAGTGTCATCAGCACAGGAATGAAAGTTAATATTATGCTTTCATATTATCCTACCTAGCGACAACATGTACAGAGAGAACAAAACTGGTCCAAGTACTGATCCCTGTTGTAGCCCAAATTTGACTGGTGACAGTGACGAAGCAGTACAAATAGATGTTTGAACATAGTGAAAATGGTTAGTTAAATAGAAGGTAAACCACTTTAGGGAGGTTCCACATAGGCCAACCTCAGACTCAAGCATGTGTAGCACAATAAAATGGTCAACTGTGTCATAGGTAGCACTAAGGTCTAGGAGCACAAGCACCGTTGGATTCCCTGTGTCAGTTGCTAACAGAATATCATTTCCAACTCTTGTTAATGCAGTTTCAGTGCTGTGGCCTGGGCAGAAACAAGATTGGAATTTCTCAAGTATATTATTTGAATCCAGATAAGACTGAAGTTGGGCAGCAACTATTCCCTCAAGAATTTTAGATAAAAATGGAACATTTGAGATAGGTCTGTAGTTGTAGAGAACTTGTGGATCCAAATTTGCAAAAAGGTGAAGTTAGCATTATTCATCGTGTTCATAAATTTTAAAGATGTACCCTTATTGATGTGCCATGTCGTAATAATCTCCTTGGCAACTACAGAGGGTAGTCAAATCTCAAACGTATTTAAAAAGTGGTCAGAAAAAGAAAATATTAAAAACAGTTTCTAAATTTTACAAACTATTATTGTGTTTTTCTTTTTCTCTTTTCTTAAGAGTTGATATATCATCTTGTATTCTTTTAAGCAGTGGGTCAAAATTCAGTTGAAATAAGCCTGACAGCTTAGAGGAAATGTTGATACCTACAGTAAATATCTTATATTACCTGAAGAGATTGTTTTTGAGCCACCACATTCCAGCTGTCACCTCACAGTGGTAATATTATTCTTTATAGGATAATTGGATATTTCAGAAAATATGTTTATGAGATTGACGGCTTCCTGTATTGAGTTTGATGGGTCTTGTAAATATAAAAGTACATCAGTCTTCATTTCTAGGCCCTTCTCTAGACCCCCAAGATTTCTTATTCTGGCTGTCCGCACCTGCACTCACTACCCCGGTCACTCTGTGTCCACTCACTTTCCCCCTTGGCTAGTATGACGCTTATACATATCACTTATGTGATCTCCTACTTCTAGTGCACTGAACAGTTTGCAGAATTCTTTCTCTGTTTTATTTTTACTGTTTCTAATGTCTTCTTGTAATTCTTTCATCAACCTGAGACTTCTGGCATACTGAATTTGGAATTTCTGAATGGGGACATACACTACCCTACTTTGCTTTTGGCATGCTCGTTGCTTACCCTCTGTTATGGCTTCTGTGACTTATGATTGGAGAGCCGAGTCGATCTACTATGGTCTCAGGTTCCATTCTTTCCATAGAGATGACTCTTCCTGCTCTGACACCCACATGGAGAAACCCATCTTGTGTACAGTAGGCAAGGTGGGGAGTGAGAAGCTGGAAGATACTGCTTCAAGCTCATTAAGAGAGCTTTATTGCCCTTCACTCTACAGCGAGCATGCTAGTCACTGGAGAATGTAGCTAAAGCCTGAGAACAGGCTAAGGTGCAACACACACAAAACACCCCTTTAGCTGTCATTGCTTGATCTCATAACTTGCTAGTCAACATGCAACTCTCCTGCAGCTACCCGTGTCTCTCATGCCTGCATCGCAAATTCTCATGTGCAGCAGATTCAGGAGAGTTCTCCACTGGCACACAATGCTCCTTTAAGGAAAGCGGTTTTCTTTTTTAAGCTTTAAGAATGCAACCCATATTCCAGCATATCTCTTGTGTGCTATCTGGGTATAACCTCCCCAAAGTCGACTGTGTTAAAATCAGCAGAAGGACCCAGGAAACTACAAAAAAAGGAAACTGCCCTGCAGAAGACACACATAGCCTGGAGGCTACATGAGGGGAGCCGCAAGAAAGTTGCATATTTTGGACTTTCATCTCTTGGTACACTATCTTTCAATAGTACCTCACAGAATGCCTGGAACAATGGCAACAAGCCCTGGGCAACTGTTTTCTTTCACAGTGCTGGGACAGAGTGATGAGTGCTGAGATCACACAGCCACTGCAGACGCCATAGGCTGAGGGAAAGGCTATCAAGAACACAAAAGAAAAAATGAAAATATTTAAAGCCACTCACTTAAGATGGCATCTGAGTAGAAGAAAGCTATGCAAAGACAGCTAGATTAGACTAATACCAGAAAACCAGTCAAAAGAAAAATTATCGTCAAATGCCGTAAATTGTAGTCTATTTTATTTTATTTTTTTTAAAAAGGTAAAATTGTACCTTTAAATATGTAAACTCTATTGACACATACACCTTGGTAGTTAAAATGTCTTGTTCAATTCTGGAATGTTTACTTATGTTGGACCACATCAGAAGAATTTAATTTTGGAAGAGAGGTCAGAGATTGTCGAACATTTTCAATTAATCAATAATTAAATCCAGCAGTAGGGAATATGTACAATAGTGCACAAGCTAATGCTGAACAAGCTACCAAGCTATGTTATTGAAAATCAATGTCATCTTGTTTTTCAAGCAACATCTAGATAAGTCCATCTGATCAGTTAGCAACTAAAAGTATACATAGTTGTATAAACACCACAGAATAAAAGTAATTGGAAAAACATTAACACAGAAATGCATGACTGAATGCTTTTATTCAATAAGGAAAGCATTACAAAAATAACTGCACTGTAAAGTAACTTGGAAATTTAGAAGTACAGTCTTTCTTGACAATTATAGTGTATAGTTTCAACAACTATGGTGAAGTCTCTCACTGATATTCCTTTTGCCAAGAATTCAGAGGGGACAGCTGGTACTCAGTACGATTGATGGAGGCTGCAGGATTTCGTCTTAGTGGAAGAAGGTTCCTTCTTATCTCCTGGCACTTGGTATCAATCTCAATTGACCTTGTCTTGTGGCACAGCTCATCCTCCACATGGGACAGATGTCTCAGCATCTCTTTTAATACATTCCTACATGGCAAGAAAATACTAGAATACTTATTGGTGTTTGATTCCGAGTTTCTAGTGCAGCATATTTTTTAATAATTAGGATGACTGTTTTAAATGGTGTTTAGGAAGTCTCCTGTTTTAGTATTGGTTCAGAATATTACATATACTGTTTTTGCTTACATTTCTACATGTGGGAAAACGTTTCTAACAAGTAAACAACAAGATAACAAGATATTTTAATTTATAACATAAACACTCTATACTAATAATTAAGTAACATAAACTTCATTATTAGCGTATAAAACATGTTTGAAGCACCATCTAATTTTTACAAATGTACCTTTTATTTTTAATACATCTCTTGTTTTTGCACTGGAATAACATCTAACATCTAAGCAAATTAGTGCCTAGTTAAAAGTTTCATCATAATAATGTGGTCATTAATGAACTTAAGATAGCTATCCTACTGGTCTTGACTACATTCTAAAGTAGTCTTGCTCACTAAGCAAAATTATGCAATTTTCCTAGTTTTTATTTTGTCCTCATTTATTTGTCCATACACTCTTCTCTCATTCTTGTAATGCTATGGACAGAACAATCGTCAGTTCCAAACTGGTTTTCAATGTGGAATACATCTTGTGAAAAGTGCCTCCTTACTGTAAAGTAAATTTTTGTTTAGTAACCAGTTTCCCAGTATCTGTCGATTATGCTTGTCTTTCCATTACGCAAAACATTGACTTTTCTTGAAATTGCATTCTGCATGATAACTGCTTTGCAAACAGAAGCCAAATATTTTTTAAAAATGAGAAAAAAAGACTGATTCTGAAAGGGGTTACTTGTTGTCTAGCTATCTGTAGACTAGCTGCTTATTAAAATGTAAACACAAATACTGCCAAACCTATACCTTTGGATTTCACTGAGATTGTAAGAAGTGAAAGTTTCTCCATCATTTCTACTGAGTATACAGTATATAGAAAGTCATACTGAGAATGTATTCTCTTTGAAACCATACGGTGGAAGCATTGCATTTCAGTGCTATAGTACATTAAATCAAGCAAACCTTAGAGCTGTGTACTCACTGAGACAAAACTATCTTCTTCTTCAAAGAAAACACATTTCTTTCCAGTTGTTCAGTTTCATGCAACAAACCTATATGGGGCTTAAAATAAAAAATGAGCGTGAAGTCAAGAACACAGTTAAAATCACAATTCACACACACTAATTACCAGTAACACTGACTCTAGTCAGCACTCAGACAGGATACCCAACATTCCACCTGGAAGCTGTTTTGGTGGACATGTAGCTGATGGCCTGCTCACTAAATCAGAAACTCCAATTAAAACAACGCCTCAGGATGACAAGGAAAACTGCTGCATTGGCACAGACTTTTGTAAACGACTTTACACTGAGATCTGGACCTCATAATGTGGTCATTAATGAACTTAAGATAGCTATCCTCCTGGTCTTGACTACATTCTAAAGTAGTATTGCTCATTCTACTCTACTTAAAATTCTGTTTGATTTTAACTATTGAATTACTCTGACTTTTCCAATATGTGTTGTAAAGTGAAATGATGATACAGATTGGATACTCTTAAGACACCCAGGAGGATCCTGAACTTCATTGATGGATATAATGTAAAGTGCTCTGGGATCTCTGAAGATGTACAGTGAAGTGCTCTGGGACTGGTCAATGACTTAGAGTATGATAAAAGTAAGAGCTGCCCTTGAAATCTGAGCAGCTTTACTGGGAATTCAGCTCACTGCCTCTTGGGGATGAAAACCATTGCCTTGCATGGACACATGTGAGTTTCACCTTTGTACCCTTATGTGTTTTCATGTGTGTTTTCAACTGAATATAGTAATGCAACAGTAAAAAATAAAGTTAGTATTCTCTGTGGAGCAAATTTTTTTAAGCTTTGTGATCTAAGGCAAACTGTGTATTAAACTGTTATCAAAGACAAAAAAAAAGTTGTATCTCTGCCTTCACACCAACCTGGTCCTTGCAAAGCTCAGCATTAGAGCGATGGGATAGTGTTTCCAGCCGTGTGTGAGACAGCTTGATCTGATTGGCTGTGTTCTGGATTTGAAGGTCTAAATTCTGAATCTCCTTCACCAGTTCACTTATTGTATCGTTGATCTGTAAGAAATAGGATATACAGTACTTCTTTCTTCTAGAAGTTAATAAAAAATAGAAGACCCTGCAGATGAATGATTTGCAAGCTCACGTGTTGTTTCTCCCATTCCAGGTTATCTTTTGCTTGGTTGAGCTCGTGTAGTCTCTTTCGAAGAGCAAACTCGGTAGCACTGTGCTGGGCTTCTGCCATGTTAGCTGCCTGCACAAGAACAGAATTAGCTTTGTAATATTATGAATGGTAGTAATTAATCTCAAGTTTCTCACATTACTGAAAAGACTGAAAAAGAAGAAAAATGTTACAGCTTTTGGTGACTGACTGGGAAGTGTCTCTTAGATTTTAGATAAAGCTCATGACACCTCTTGGCAGAGTAGAACACTTCTAGCTTCAAAGCAGAGGGAATGTTTGCTGAGATGTGGGGGATTCCCTCATCAAAAACAATTGTTAGGTCTACCTTGGTATACCTAGGTAATTAAGCTGTGTGTTAATGATTGTCAATAAGCAGTAGATATAAGATCTCATTAAGACCAAAGGGAGGTGGAAGCACAACACAAAGAGGACAAGAAGCAGGGAAGAAGAGGAGGACAAGACAAGAGAGGAGTTGGATCTTGAACTCGTGCCAGATGAGAGCCCCTACTACATTATCAACCGAACCTGACTGGAGCTAAGTATTTGAACCTTGCTAGAGAATGCTTGCTATTTTATGTTTTCAGGAAACTTGGGTTTCCTGGGTAAAAGATACCTTGGTTAGAGACATCTTTCCTGCTTTGGGTGCATTTTTAGAGTAGGGATATAGGCTCCCATTTATTTTGTGGTATCCGGAGTATA